TGTGAAATTTTAAATCATATGAAGAGAAGTGTTAGATTATTTCGAGCCTAAAAACAAATAGCACCATTCGATTCAGCATGATAAACTTAGTTCTCCTAGCTGCTCTTTCGGCTAATTACATGTCAATCGACTGAAACAAGAAGTCTCAGGAAAACTCTAGTAACTCTTGAATGAAACAAGCTAGCAATGTCGATCTTGTGTAGATTGAAATAGAAGAATTTTTTCTGTCGATTAGTCCTATTAAAAGTCTAAGTCGAATGGAAAATGGCTACAGAACATTGTTTTGGAAAGTTTTCACCAAGAAAACTGACCTAATCAGGCATTGCTGACCATTTGAATTTCGATACAATTCGATGGTATAGGTCTTCTCTCTTAATCAGTGAAAACCGGAGATTTGTATGACGTTCCTATCAAAAGTTATTCAAAAATCAGTGTAGAACATTATATTTTCAAATGAGTAGCAGATCATTTATAATTTTGAATGATAGTCAGAGAAAATAAGCGTTAATGTTTGAAACAAACGCCAAAAAGTAGTATTACCATGTCCTCTTGGTTGTTTCTTATCAGATTGTCAATATGGCAAGATCCTTAGTTTAGAAGAACATTTTCGATGGTGAGTTTTAAAATAAAACTACTGTCTATTAAACTTGAACGACTATAGATATGTGCATCTTCTCTTACCTTCACGACTCCAATCAGCTTCTTGTTGCTTATATCGAACTGAACGATCGCTATAATTAATTGTTTCCGGTTCAAGTGTGCGAGCTTCAAGTTCAACTAAATTATCGTCCAATCGTAAATTCCATTTCGACATATATTGACGACAACGAGGTGATCTAAAAAGATAAAATTAAATTCATATTTTCAATGATTCATTTTTCTATCATACGTATTAATTGTATTAACCATATCCATCAATGATTGATATCGAGGAGTTGGTTCAATATGTGTATATGAAGCCAATTCTTTCATAAGATTAAAATCATTTCGCATTGAATCCGAAATACCTACAAAAAGATGAAATACTAAAAAACGAAAATCTTTTTCATTATAAATTCGTTTACCAGTTTCACGACAAAATTCTGGAATTAATAAAATTGGTCCTGTAATTCCAGCTCGTCGATTTCGTCGTGATGGTTTTGATACAAGTAATGGTTGTGTGTGATCAACTATTTGTAATTGATAACGCTAAAATAAGAAAAAAAAAATTATTTAAACATTTGAGCTATTTCTTTTCATTCAAACTTCTTGATAATAATCAATTAATGACATATCTTTTCCATCACGTCTTGAAAACGTAATTTGAGGTGTTTTATCCCATGCAATATCATCAATCTTATATGTTTTATGATTATATCTATTTTAATAAGAAAGTAAAATTAAACATTCTCAAGGAAAAAAAACCGTTTTCTTGTTTATATTTACGTTGTAATAACAACTTGTCCAACTAATTCTCGCATTGCTGTATCTTGTGCAAGTTTATATTCTTGAAATTGTGCAAAAATATTTTGTAAACGTTGATAAATACTAACATTATTAATCACTTTATGTGATAAATCCACATTCATCATTAAAACACCTTCATAAACATTAATAGCTGTTTCAAAGCCGGGAAATAAAGTTAAACTAAATCGATCGATATCAATTTTTTTATCAAATTGATAATATGATCGACCAATCATTCTCATACCAGCTAATTCCAGTAATCTTTATAAACAAGAAAAAAAAAATCAAAATTTGAAAAATTTCGATTTTTGTTTTTCATTTACTTTCTCATGATTAAATTCGATAAATGGAAAAAATTCGGTGATTCAGGACCTTGTACAGCTACTTTATGTAATTGAATAGTTATATCTTGACCAGTAGCTTCATGAAATGATTTTGTTTCATGATCCTACAAGACAACAAAATCGATCTTTTTATTCAATCAATTAACACTTACATCACCAAGATCATTAAATGAATATAATGTTTGTCCATCAAATGCAACATCTTGCAAAACACCTTTATGTTGTGCTAAGGAAACAAAAAGAAAAGAAAACTTAATATTAAAAAATATAGATTAAACGAGAAAAAAAAATAACCAAGTAATTCTCGACGTGTTTTTCTAGAATCAATATTATCTGGTATAAATGTAACATGATATTGATAAAGTAACCATTGTGGTGCAGATAATATTCGAACATAATTTGCAATTAATGCAATAAGTTCTCCTGATGTTCCTTGTTTTTCTGTTCCTGGTTCACGAAAACTAACACGTGTAGGATCAACAACACGTCTTTGAGATTCATCATGTATTGGTGGTCCACGAGAACGACCTTCACGATGTTCACCAATCGACATTCCAGCCATATGTGGAGCCAATTTATCAAGACCACGACCTCGAGGAATACTCATTGTACCACCACCACCAATTCGACGTATTGCAGTTTGTTGTACGGCTGGTGCAGCTTCTGCTGTTGACCATTCAGATGTTGGTGTTTCACTAGCTGGAGGAACAGTAGGTGTTGGTACTATTGAAGCTATAGCAGATGTAGTTGGTGCCTTATGATAAAATTATTAGATAATAGAAGATATTTAATAATAGAAAAATTACTTCACTAGTAGGTGCAGTGATACCAGCAGCACCACTTGGTTCACTACTTGTTTCGCCTGGTACTACAGGACGACTACGACCACGACCACGAGCACGGCCACGCTCACTCATAATATCTAACGATAAAAGAATAAATAAAAAAAAATATATGTGCCGATCTATTTATGTCGATGATAGTAAAGACAATAAATACAACATTTGTGTCTATATTTTCTCTATTTCATTTGTATCTATCCATGTTGTTTAACCCTCGATCTCGAAAAGAAATATTATGTAGTCAGAAACGTATTGTTTACATTTTTTTTTATTCTTTTCTATATTATAGAAGATTTCATATAGAAAGAAAGAAAGATACAATGGAGAAATTAACATCCAATAGATCGAAAAAGTAGATTTATTTGCGTACTTATATTTAATAGAATATGTTATTGTTATTATTATTCGACGATGAAGATGAAAAGTATTTGTCATATTGTTTTCAGCAATTGAAGCTAAAAATCGAAAAGTCAGAAAAGTAATCATCCAATAATCATAGAGGCATCGCTTTCATGTTCATATTAGCGATGTGAATACAATATAAATGATATATCATCACAGAAAAATTTTGTTTTTTTTTTTATTGTTATTAAATAAATATAAAATTTATTTAGACGACGATAGGAAAACAAATATGTAATTAAGTGATAACATTAGTTTCAATACATTGTTGTTTTACTTTGAACTTGTGTATCGTTCGGTTATTTACAGACGAACATCAGTCTGTTGTCGATGGAAGTAGACTAAATATAGAATAATATTAGTGAACAACAAATTTTTAAGAATTCATTAAACATTTTTTGATATACTAGGGAGAAAATTGTTAACAATCAGAAAAATTTTTTCGAATTGTTCGAATTCAATGCCTTCTTATACTTTTGAATTACTATCCATTTGAAAATATAAAGTGATTCATAGGTTTTTGAATAACTTTTGGTACAAATATTATGAAGACTTGCGGCTTTAACTATTTTTGAAAGAGAAAACTAGAGTCCATTGAAGTATGTCGATATTTGCTTTGTCAGCAATTAACCAATCAGGTGAGTTTTTAGTAGAGATTTTTGAAAACGATATTCTAAAGCTATTTTCGTTTTATTGTAGGTTTACAATAAGCCTAATCGATAGAAAAATTTCTTCTCTTTCGACCTAAACAAGATTGAAATTCGTAGTTTGTTTCCTTCGAGACTTATAAGACTCTTTCTGAGACTCCGATTTCAACCAACTGATCTTTGATCATTCGCAAAAGAATTTAGACAGAGATCGTTCGCCGTTTCAAATTGAATGCTGATATTTTCTTTTAGATACAAACTGATCGGACAATGTAATCAATATATATGACAAAAGTTGACTCCGTCATTAAATGAAGGTTGATTGTAGAATTTGAGAAATATTGAGATAACAAAGTCAGATTATCTGGAATCTATAAAGTACAAGCGAGAATATCAAGAAAAATCATACAACATCCAAACGAAACAAGTTAGAAATATCGGTCTTACATAAACTGAGTTTTTAATCGAGCAATTGATTTCTTACCGAAAGCTAATCGATTGTAAGTTATCGATCATGGTGATTTTGAATATGATCATGAAAATTTTCTTTGGATCTTCATATACTAATTTTATAGTAAAATCGGTTTTCTAGACCAACGAAATTTTTCCTAGAAATTACTTTTGTTCGCTCTAGATTATAGAGCATATCGAATAGAATGAAAAACAGAAACTTTTTCTGTTTCAAATCATTTTCTTTTTGCGGAGCATAAAATCATTTTCAATTCATACAACACATTCGTATTAATATTCCAGTAGGACAATGTTTAAGATCATATTATTTAAAACTCATTTTTGGAAAACAGAAAAGATTACAGGCTTCTAGACAACTCGATGTGTTCTATTACTCATAGTTATATTCGAAATCGACATGGTCGTTAACTTACGATGTACTAGTTTTTGATGAAAACCTTTTATCATTAACTGAAGTAGTTTCGTGTCGATTCAGAATACTACCGAAATCTCATTCAGGTATTGTATATAAACTAAATGCAAGCTAACGCTAATTAATTGTTAATTAGAAATGCTTCTCTTTTCTTTTGAAATGGCGCATACCATATAAGCCCTTACTTTCGAAAATTACTTTATTGATCAATTTATCGACATTATGAATTGACTTATTATTTTTTATTTTTATTAGTCGTTATTAACGATGAAGTAGATGAGGTTGATGAAGAACTATCATTATCACTTTCCGTAATATTACTCGAGATGGTTGATAAATGTTTTCGAGGAATAGACCGCCGATGGCAGGGCTGTAAGCTTGTACTATATAAATAAGATTATTAGAAGAAAATTTATTGCTTATCTAATGCATTTCTTTACTTAGTTGATGTCGACGTTCGACTCATGATTGAATTCAGATCGATTCGAATGAAATCATCATCTTTATCGTTTTGATTTCGATTATAATGTCCAGTTGTATTAATTGTTTGTTGTTCAGATAGAGAAGCTGATGTTGAACTAGTTGAATTACATTTGCTAGTTTTTTGAGTACTGGATGTTGTTGATGAACTTGATGAATTAGAAGAAGTACGCTTTGTTGTTGCTGTCTCAGTACTATCATTAGTTGATGATGAACTAGATGATGACGAAGTATCTCGACTATCGGAAGATGACTCAAATCTATTTTTTTTCTTAGAAATATTATCATGTTTCGAAAATGGAATAGTTCTATCCATCTAAAAATATATCTATCTTCTCTTAGATCAATAATATAATGACAAATTTACCGTTTGTTGATTAGCACTATACCAGAAAAGTCCCGTATTATTTTGCGAAGCCATTGGTAATGAATATTGCTTTGCAAGTATTTTAATAGCTGAAAGACGTTTTGGATAATGATAGTTTGGTATTTGTGCATAATATCTATGTTGATTAGCATTGAATGATATTTTCTCTAGTGTACTGTTAGTAGTTTTTATTTTTGGTATACCACCAATACTATGTGCACTTTGAATAGTTTGTTTTTGTTCACTAATATTTTCTCGTATTGATGTTGGATCAAATAGAGAGGATATGGATTTATCTTTTATGAAAGATGAATGACTAGCAAACGGTATTGAAAATGCTAATATACAAAAAAGAAGCATCGAATTTTAGTTGTAGAAACTCAACTTCGCTTACAAGGCTCTTTTGATAATTGCTTTATTTCTGGTGAATTGACGGTTGATGTAGCCTTTATTTGCTTAAAATCATAACGTAAACCTTGGAATGAAAGTTGCATTTTCTTATTAATATTTTCTTGATTGGCAATGATGTCACCCTGAATATTAATATTATACGGATGTTTCGATTGAAATTGTTGTTTCTTATAAATGCATTTCGTACGTGAAAGTTTGACTTGATCTCCACCACTAATGCTTCTCTTGTTATTTTCTCGTTGAAAATTTTTGATTGATTTTTTAACAATGGGTGCTCTTCGTTTCGATGAATATCGTCCAAATAAACCACGTAATAATGATGATCGTTTAGTTGTATTTGATGATGTTTTTGTTGGTTGTGCAGCATTATTAAACGACGTCAAAATATGAGGAGATTGTTGTTGTGGAATTAGCAAACCCAAATATGAAATATTATCCTACGAAAAGATGAATTCTTATCATAATAAAGATAGCATTGAGATAATACATACATATGAAGATAAATTAGTATTATTAAAAGATGATGAGTCTGTTGATGGTACAAGTTCATCTATTTCTTTAATACTAAATGCTACTTTACTAAAAGAACAAATAAAAAAATGAGTGCAACTTTGTTAAAACTTCAGCAGTGGACAGCTTGAGCGATCTATAAGAACATTTGCTTCCGCTTATGTAGAAATGGTTCACCTCTCATAAGATCACACATGTCAAAAACAAAATGAAAAAAAAGAATACGAACATTTATCTATCAATCATTATTCCATGAACTATATTTCATTTTTGATTTCTACTCATCAAGAGAGGAAGGGAAAGATGATTTCTTTTTGAATTGTTTACATTTTTGTTGAAAAAAACTTATTTTCACTAGAATTGCTCCCTAAAGTGAAAAAGTACTCTGATTGAAGTCTCTCTATGGCGTTTCGACTTCTGCTCATGAAGGTTAAAGTGAATGAAGCATTTCTCTGTCGTTATTCTTGGATTTTCTCTGATATCAATGATATAATTGAATAAATGCTGTTTTCTGAAAGAAAAAAGCGTTTTTGCTTGACTTCTTGTGAGGTGAAACCTTTCTGCTAGAAATGGAATAATGTCTCGCTTGTGTGAGTAATACTGTTTAATCCTCTTAGACTTACTCTTTCATAGCATCAATTAATGACAATTTCGATTCAGTTGATGATACCTGTTGTAAGAATTCAATTGCTTGCGACTTACTCCATGTATCATAGGACTATAAGACAGAAAATATGGAAATCATCATTTTTGGTTCCATATAGTTACTTCAATAATCATTTTTGCATATAAACGTTCTTTGATATTATTGTTGAGCGGTTCATATGTTCGTTTAGGAATACGTGAAAAATTTTTGTCGATTGAAAACTGTTGTTTCAATAAATTTAATCGATCAAAAGGTGTTGATCCATTTCTCATAAAGAATGAATTCGAACTCGACATTGAATAATTAAGATTTATAAGAAATGAAACAGTATCAAATACACATGTCAAAGAAATTCAAAAAAAAGTGTTCACAATATGGAAAAATAGATAAACAAATGCGGTTTACGAAAGTGAAACATTGAAGCGCGCCAGTACTGTATGACTAAAAACTTTCTTCAACATAAAAAAAAACAAAGAATTATTACCAATTCTAAGCGTCATCACTCATATCTCTAAAAACTGATCAATAACACATGTGATAACCGTTATAGAGTGCATAATAATGCAGCTTATAATTAATGGTTACTATCATCATCATAGGATGAGTCAAGTAGACATATGAAAAAGAATTTAATGCACTATGTCGTATCACATAACCCATCTATTCATTGAATTGGTTACTTTTCAATCTATTACAAGAAGATCAGTATAAAAAACATATTCGAAATTATGCCTTGATTGTATTTGTTCTTGTTATTTTACTAATGTTTTTCTCAAAAAAAAAGACAAGTTGGTATTTATTTTAATAACTTTTGACAGAAACTAAATAGAGAACTGTAAGTTTCTTCTTTGAAAAGAGATGAAGACGCATTAACTTGTATATTACAAGTTTTTTCGATCCGGTCTTTCTTTTAAGGTTTTCAATCAACCTTTATTTGTAAACTAAGGTACCCTGTGAGATGGCTATAGTGAATTTTGAATTATTCAGTGTGTATTTGAATCATCAATAGAAGGTCTACAAAATAACTGAAGTTTTAGGTCTTTAGATTTTATTATTCAAGAGTCATAGGCATTCTAATCAACACTTTCGACCAATTTTTCAAGCAATCACCTGTGAAGAAAACCAGTTTTTGTTTTTTTTTTATGTTGAAAGAATCCGTTTTTCCGAAAATTTTTAAAATAAATTTGATTAAAAACTTCAGAAAACATGTTATGAGTACCTATAATATAAGTTTAATTCGATTTCATTTCCTCTTTCCAAAAGTAAAAATCGCAGTAGCACATTAATGTATAAGAACATAGTTCAATGTTATCTTTCTTACATTTGATTTCTGCTTGTTTAAAATGTAGGCTATTCTAAAATTTCATCAAACAACAGAACGTTAATAACTATTGGACGCTGCAAGTCATACATGTGAATATTCTATCATTTTATACAACTTTCTTTAAAGTTAACTTTTGCATAATTTTATTTGCACTCATTGTACAAAATGCCTATATTGACATGAAACTCGCAAGTTCACTACTCTCAAACCTTTAAAATATCAAACATTAGATAGAGTTTTCATTGAAGTTATTGCATTTTACTCTCCCGTTCTTTCTATTAGTTCAATCTGATATTTAACAGTCATTTTGAAGACATTGTGTTTCACTTGTTACAATAGAAAGAATTAGAGAGATAATAAATCCAATGAGTGTGAAGTTCATCGAAAAGAGTCATCTCTTTGAATTTATATGTTAGAGAAACAGCTGTTGAGAAACTCATATATCTCATAGTCAATATGTAAAGATACTTCATTTTTCTGAAGTACTAGCTGGATTCTGCCATAGTTCTGAATGCTAGTGAGAAAATATTTCAAATAACTAAAACATTTTCTGACAATGCACTTTCATTAGTAACATAAACTGTGTCGACTCTTTCTCCTATCATTATTACCTTAGGACGTACACAAAGTGATTGATCTGTCTAATTATCAATTTTAACAAAGCGTTTAGAGATGTGTATAATACGATCTGCATCGCTCTTTTCTTTGTCAAATTCGTCTGGTATAGTTCTTATTACGATCATAGGTGACTCAAATTCGACCATCCACAAAACTGTTTCGATTCGAATGTTTATAAGTATAAGCATATTGGATCTTAGATATGTTGAGAAAACCTTAAAGAATTATCGAATGAAGTTATAGAAAATTCATGTAAATTACTTGAACTGTTGGAGAGCTATTCACATTTTTTATTTTGATAGGACTTTTGGAACACTCTATAGTGATTTTTAAATGTTTACGCATCGAAAAATCAATTCTAAATCATGGTAAAACCAAAGCATGAAAGTTTTCAAATTTAATTCTTAGTTGCTCCATTAGAATAACATAGACTGATGTCATATGTGACACAATTATTTGGAAATTTTCATACATGTTGAACGACTCTCCGGGCAGTATTATAAGAGTTTTTCTGAGTTAAGCAAAGTATTTTTGATACTTGAGAGAGTCTATCTTTGAAAAGTTCGGTCCTTATACAGAATTCATTCGTTCTTGAATGAGATTGTAATATTCTCTTAAAATTTCGTTCTAAGCTTCGACTTTGAATTCAGCAAAATGTTGATCTTTCTCTAAATAAGACATTTCTTCCTTTACGCTTTCTTAAATATGGATTTATCAGCGATAGTACGATAGTCGGGACTTTGTTTGAATTTTATGATACTTGTTTTATGAGTGATTCAATCTAACTTTTCGGACAATTATTAATCAACACTATTCATACCAATGATATAATCTGATAGAATACAAAATCGAAGCATATTTTATATCCAATAAATGTTTAAAAAAATATGTTTTTTGTCTTTATAGAAATAAATATTCTATTTTCAAGTCGTCGTGTATTTACTTGATTGCAATGTGCATATTTTTGAAATGATCATTGTACTGCTAAGTTTTTTAACGATATATCAAATATGAATAGTATAATTATTTTCTGAGTGAGAGTTATACGTTGCGTTAGCTCTAGGTATTGTAAGAAACACTGTTTTGTACAGAATTTGAATCGAAAGGTTCAAAAATATTTCAATATAATTATTTATACAAATGAATGATTGTGTCTTTATAGTCTAAATGAAACCTTTTTTGAAGTTTATTTTATTGATATGCATGTTTTGTACCCTTTTGAATAAAGAGGTACAATGTGTACTAGCAAATATCAAGTACGTAATTAGAAATTTATATATTATTCTCAGTCCTATAGTTAGCATACTATCGTGGGATACAATACATTCTCAAAATGTATATTAGATGATACGAATAAACTTTTCTATGTATATAGATCTAGCGAATCATATTCTATTTTTGATTCGTTCTTTGAAATGCGTTTATAGTTTAGAATAGCAGCAGAAGTGGAAAAATAAAAGTTTAGTATTTATCAAACAGATTATATTTTAGTGGCAACAATTGGTTGCTATTTTTGACTCATAGTCATTCTCATTAATGTAACTATGAGTTATTCTATGAAGTCTCTCTAGCGGAGATTTATATCATTTGGAGAGATTCAAAAGATGATTTGAATGCATTCAATAAGATCTTTTTTGATTTCATACACTGAACAGCGAAAAAGAGTCTCAGAACTTCGACCATAAGAACTCGTTAGATCTCAACGATTCGCAGTGTTTCTTGAAATTTTCAAATCAAAAATATTAAACTTCAATCTTTCATCAATTTATTAATGACCTTGAAAACGAAGTGCATACATATCAAAATACAAGAACAAAAACTTTATAATCACGTGTGAAACCTTACAAAGAATCGAATTTCATTAATACTCAATGCTCAAAAATAAAAGAATTCGAATATCTTTATTACCATTCATCTTCAAGGTGTTGGTTGAACGATGCTGTAAAGTGTACACGTACCAAAAGATGCTCACAGTCAGTCCATCCATATGTTTGGTGATATAATCTGTATCTGCATACAACGAAGTTCTCAATTTATCTGAAAATTTTTCTTTGAAATGCATCGAAGAGTAGCAGAAATCATATTGTCATATTCTTCTGATAATTTGGAATCTATTCTATAGGTACACGATTGAAGATTTGATTTGATCAAGAAGATTTCTAATATTCTTTAGTTAATATTGAAAATAAGACTTTCCATCTTTGAGACAATAGGTCATGAATAAAATACAATAAAAACTATGCGACAGATCGTTTCTTGTAAATCATAGAGGAACGCCCATACATGCATTTTTAACTAATTCAAAACTGTATTCATAGATATAAAACAACCAACGAAATCTATTCTTGAAAGTAGGAGTATGTAGACGTATGTGTGAGTTGCGAAAATCTTTCTAATAAAAAGGCGTGAGACAGTATCTAGTGCATATTAGTGTACTCACAATTCAAGTCCGACCAACAAACAGAGCTTTTGCAATACTTGTGATTGACAAATAATTTGGGTAAAAAGTAGTGATGTTTGTTTGGACTTAACTAACACAAAATCTCAATCTTCGAAACTCATAGAGAATTCCTTGAGAAATTGGGTGTTGATGCAGGTGAGGGTAAGAATAAAAAATCCGATACAGTTCTACAGATCTGTCCTTCTGCTTAGGTTTCATTGAAAATAATGATAAACCGTTTCAAAATGCTTCATTAGGTTCATTGGTTTGATTCCCATACAGAATCCACGGCTTACGAATAGCAAAAGTCATTCTGTCGATATTTCTCTCTTGGAGGAACTCGTAAGCGTCTTTATTGTCCATCAAGTAAGACAAGAAATTACAAAGATTCATTCTGAGTACGAAAACTTAATTTGACTGTTTTGTTGTTTTAAGGAGCATTGTACATAATCAGATACTTTGTTTTCCAGAAGCCATAAATACTTGAGTGTCTAGACGAAAAATTGAAAATAAGTTACAGGGAAAGAAAAGTAAATATGATGCATTACTCGATTGTCGCGTAATCCATCAGCCAGGTGTCGTGCTCCATCGTTTCGGATTTGATTCGCTCCCAAATGTAGTGTTATGAGGACCTGGAAAGAAAAAGAAAAGTGTATATGACAGAAATAATTTAGGTTGCCGTATTACTTGGTTGTCACGTAATCCATCAGCTAAATACTGAGCCCCATCATCGCCAATTTGATTATTCCACAAATTCAATTTCCTAAGTGTCTGTGTAATATAATAGGATGAAATAGCTACGGAATACGTGCAACACATATATTACTTTATTGTATCGCAAAGTATTAGCCAGGTATCGTGTGCCGTTGTCCCCAATTTGATTTCCTCCAAGGTCCAGGGTGGTCAATACCTGC